GTACAATAAGACATTTTTGTTCTTCGATTAATATTACGCTGTTAGGGTGTCTAAATCCAGGAAAGTCAGATGAACGAGCTGTATCTACCGATCAAATATACAGTGGTTTATCTCGACGTTCTCGGTGTGAAGGCAGAAAGATGTTGATTTTATTGATTATTTGTATTGTTCTGTTCTACTATATGAGACCGTACAAGACTGCTGTAAAGCGCTTGTGAAAAGATTCAGTAGCTCTAATGATACGTGAACTTTCTTAACAAGATATGTTATGAAGAACTTATAATAAGTATTTTACATTAAATGTCACCTTCGGAATACAGAATCCAGGTGAACTTGTTTACTAACTACGTGAAAGTTTTTCTGTATGAGGTAGATATTTTAGCTCTTAAAAATGTATGGCCCTACAACTTTGAGAAATATAATTCGAAAAAAAGTGTTCTCTGCAGTTATTATAACACTTTTATATGGCGTATATATAGAAGCCTGTATGTATGTCTTTGTGCATTTATAAGTTGCTCGAACTTCTTCAAAATTTTAATTTATTTGTGGCTATAGAACCTTGAACAAAAATACCGTTAATGAAAATATTATAATTAGCTAGGTAATTTGATTTGCAGCCATATCACCCCATCCCCCGTCGCAGAAATGATAATTTAATATTGAAATGAGATTTTATGTTTTCTGGGCTGTGGTAACGTCCAGTTTGGTCTTTGGATTCAATTACAGTGTGGATTTGTAGGTAGATGCAAACATTACGTTTTTCAGAAAAGTTGGTATGTATCTGCCTACAAGTTACATAGCGTTACAAGCCACATGACCACCATTGCTAACATTGACATGTACGTAGGTTATCTTTTATTGTGTTAGCTGTACAAAAATAATGTAGGATTATAGTTAAAATACTGTTAAATAAATAACTAAAATTATTATATATGCGTTTTACGTGAATCTGGACTTTTGTAACGAATGAAGGCTGTGTACATTAACTTTACTGTACATCCCTTTGGATGCTGTGTGTTCCAGATGAGAGCATGGGTCATTGTAATTTTAGAGAATAGAACTAAAGAAAATGTTTTTCGCTTAATGTAATATTAAATATTAATACAGGGATATAATAAATAAGGTGTATAATTGCTAACACATAAAAGTGGAAACGCAGTAAGTGTTTGGTTCCGGAAATCAAACCTTTTGGCAAGTTACTTCGTCAGAGTTGTTAGGATAAAAGTAGAAGGGATGAAAGGAAATGAGGGTATGAATTTGAGACTTATTATAGTAGTCTGTGGTATTAGTGGTCATGAAATAAATGCATCATGGACAGCTTCATAATGTTTAATTATATATTTTTTGGAGGAGTTAAATAAAGGAAGGTCACATTAGCTTGCAGCGTGTGTACAGTAAGTAGTAAATTAAAAGAAAATTTTTGTTAGAATTTATAAACGGAAGAGATCGTTAAGAACAGTTTGAGATTGAATCGAGGGCTGTGATTAAATGTGTCAGAGAAATAAGGACTGATGTTGTGGAGTGAATTCAGATGGTTCTGTTATCGCGGTAATGCAACAAAGATTCCACAAAATTAATTTCTTTAATAAATATAAGCTTTCTATGTAGATACTTGATTGTAGAGTTGTTTATGACTGCCACATTTTTCTTAACACTTGTCTCTCCTGCCTGGAACGTTTTATACGAGCCGCCACTGCGTAACTTGAATTCTGGTTGCATCCAGCAGTAGCCTTAGGCAGAACGAGGCAGCCACAGTTAAGCACGGACGGATCTCCTGAGGCCGAAAGAAAGCAACAAGCTTGAGGGGGCGTTGAAAACAATAAACGCCATAGGCCATGGGGGCGGGGGGGGGTGTATCCTGCCCCCGGCGGCTGTACGTTCTCCGGGCACGCAAGGATCGGATTTGCCTTTACGAATATTAAACACAGTTTTACACCACCCGAGTTATGGCAAACTCTTGATGGAGATTCCGATAAAAATACCCATAAATAACACTTAACCTATAAATTTTACATAATGAACAGACGTGACGTCAAGGGAAAACCCGGAGCTAGAACCACGGAACTTTGCAAAATGCAAACGGTTCCTATTTAAATTGTAAATGAAGCTCCTCCCCTACAGTTTTACTGTGGAAAACAGATAATTCCTTTCCCGGGGAAACCAAGTCGAATAATTTACAATAAAACAGAAATATGTATTTATAGTTATATTAGTCAACGTCAACACTTATTTATACTTACGTACAGATCACTGAAGTTCAGTGAGATGCTCAGCTGCCCCTCGAAATCCAACGTCAAACTTGCTAAAAGTCCAATCATCAAACCTCTTTAAATGGGGGCGCATAACTTTGCTTTCTTTTCATGTCCTATTTTGTACTCGTGCTCCCCTGTATCAGTTTTCGGAAGGAGAGAAGTAATCAGAAAGGTTACTGTCACTATCAACTAACCCACGCCCATTTAAAATATTACACTGGCTTCTTCAGAGTTGATGAAACGTGTCATTTGGTTCTTGGACACAATGCTCTGAGAATCGATATAGCACACCTGCCTGATATTCAAAACATAATTCATAATTTAAAAATGATTGAGCCAATAAACTTGGTAGTAACATGTTAAACCTTACTCTAGTATGCCGGGTTCAAAACCAGGAAGGGTGTGGTTCAACCTAACTTAGGTGCTCATAGTTCATCTCAGTCCGTCTTTACTGTCTGTGTAGTTTCTAAACATGCTTCAGGAGCGTTGCTCTGAGTCTATTCAATCCATTTTGCAACCTGTTAACTTTCTTTTAATAATAGGCCTACCATCCGATCCACAACTGTCTCCCATTGTCTCTTCCTTTTCGAAGTTTTTCGTTAAACATTTTTCACACATTCTCTTCCCTATTTCTTTATGATATAGTCACCATAACAATTCTAAATGATGATTATAAATTGTGAAGCAACTCATTATATAATACTAGTTTTAAAATACGGCTGAAATTCAGCGGGAAATGATATCTTTTGTCTGTGGTCTCTCATACTTCTCCTTGTTTTCCTTTGTTATCTATTTCGTACATTTTACCCTCCCCCCCTCAATAAAATCACACTCCATTAGAGAACATGAATTGAACAAAATGTACTACGCTAAACGTTATTTTAATTTTTCTATTGAGGTCCACTCCGATTTAAATAAAGTAGCATGCAGGATTTGAAGTTTTCACGGCGGTGAGTCTAAAGATGGTTGTAGCATGCATTAGTATGTTTAAATAACACAGATACTGTGTAGTGTAAATAATATTTGTCACTCGCAAATTCAAAAATAGCTCTGTACACGACAGTAAGTAACTCTGCCTAATCGGTGCCACCGAGGTACGAATTGTGAAGTAGCCTCTATTTCAGTTTCAGATCCGTGGAGCACTACCAGGCTTGTGCCGGACGACCCGGAATTTGGGCTTCCGATAGGGAACCTGACGACACCCGTTGGAAGGGAAGCAGTGTTATCGTGTACAGTGGATCACCTCGGAAAATACAAGGTAAGCAGCAGTACAGAACATGAGACGCCATTGTGCCTGTGATAAGTGCGTAATCATAACTCCATATTAGTTTCTCCTCTGTGTGTATTTACAGCTACAGCGTGAGACAAAGCAACAGAGGCTTAGATGTTAGTGCTGGACTATGTCCACGTAATTTAACCCTCGTTTATAAAATGTTATACATACATCAGTGGTATTGTTTCCTGAGGAGGAGGTTAGTATATTACGTCATGTTTATAAACCTCAGTCAAGATATCAAAGATCTTATTTTTCATCATCAGTATTAAATAATCCGATATTTGAATATGCATAATGTCCATAAATTAGTGGACGATTTGAAAAACGTGTAATTATTTATTTATAACACATACGAATAACATATGTGCTACATACGTGGCCCTTGAAGTTAATACATAAATTTTTCCTGTGTTATAAATAAATAATTACATTTCCTTCAAATATTCCGCTAATTTATGGACACCCGGTATTTGGACTTTGGACGGAAGAAGGAACAGGATGATGAAGAAACTTGCATAATGAAGAGCTTCGTGGTTTTTACTAAAAAAAGAAGCACAACGATGGGCGGTGCATGTAGTACGCATGCCAGAAACGAGGAATGAGATGTTATAGTAAGAAAACCTGAAGGGAAAGGGATTAATTGAAAGACATGGGCATAGATGGGATGGTAGATTAATATTAAGACGAATGTTAAAGAAATTGGGTGTGAGAATACACACTGAATTCTTCCACAACCCAGAGGTTGACTTTTCTGAGCACTGCAATAGAACTTTGGTTTTAATGAAAGACGGTAGTTCGTTGAATAGCTGAACGACTGTTAGCTTCTCAAGGAGGAATCTGCTTCATCGTGTTGGTTTTAGTGTTGTGTATCTTTTAGGTATGCATCTGAATGAATACGTCTGTATTCATCTCTTGAATAATTGGTCAGTCAGTCCAAACGAGTGACGTATTGAGTAATAACAGGATGAAGTAATGTAGAGAAAGGATAAATCGGTTTTAGAAGCGTTTTGCATTACGATACTAACATGGAATTTTTCTGAAGAAACTTATGAAATTCGCACAGAAAAGACCAGATGAATCATATTTTCTTCGTTTAGTTACTTGCTTTGCGTTTATTTGTATGTACATAATTGATTTAACTTTTTACAGCCTTCAGTCATTTTTAGACATCATGAAGAATTGTTGCATTCATAAATGGTCGGAAGACTTCGAATCATTAATCAAAAACGTGTCGACCAAGGTTCATTGATTCTTTCTCACTTGCGTGTGTTGAATGGTTTGACGTCTGTGAATGGTGAATTGGAATGTGTATGAATGGAAGCGTTTGCTTCCCGATTTGAGTTACGGTATCTGTTTACTTGTTTAGAAACGGAATAAAACCACGAAGAAGCTCATAGCAGTCGCTGTTGAGATCTCCAGTTTACGAAACCGATGGGATGAGGAATACAATCCTTTAAAAATTAAAATTCATGTAACTGTTTAAAAATTGAGCTCCTACCTTAAATAAATTTTCCGTTATAGAGGACTATTTTTTTTTTATTTATTTATTTAGTGTTCTGTCTGACGACAGGTCCATATGAACAGGATCCTTCCATCCTTTTCTCGGACTGGGACCTGTTCATATACGTTCTTGGCAGATGACCCAGAAGTGGTTTGCCATTGCCTTCTTCTGTGTGTGAGTTGGGATGCCACGGAGAAACCGGGGCAGCCCCCGGAGGAAAACTCCGTGTTGCCTAGACCACGGCCTTGCCCAACACAAGTTATAAATTCGAGCACCGCCGGGAATCGAAGCCGAGACCCCAGGATTACAAGGCCAGCGTTCTAACCGCTAGACCACCGTGGCTCTACTAATTTATTAGGCCGATTAAATTAAATAGTCGCTGTTTATTCTGATAATCTTAGGGAAAATCGCAGAATTTTATAGTGCTAAATCGGTTGGTACATGCATTTTCCTTTGTTATTTAAACTGTTGAAAGAACATATATCCAGTGGCACCTGCTGTCATAATCTTCACATCAAATTTGATTAAGTGCTGTTACATTGCACGTATGTCTACTTGTTCACTTCTAAACGTAATTTCCATTTTGTGATTTTACTGACCTAATTTCACAACGAATACCCTGGAATGTTGTTAGGAACAGGAAATTCAACGTACTCCTCACAACAGAATATTTACAATTATCTCAGTGCCGGGAATTTTCTCGAGCAAAATGTCGCCCTACTCGGCTGGAAGTTCAGTTACTTGAAAGTTGGCACAAGCCCCATTGCAGTTATGTCCTAGTCGTTATCACTTTATGCAAGATGTTTCTACACTTACCTTTTTGGGCTGTAAGTTATTTTAGTAGGTCTATGAGATTTTTTTGGGCTCAAGTAGCAGTGGTGAATCTTGGTCTAGAAGTCATATCGTCTGAAATAAAGTACTGTTAAATCCCCCAAAGAGTATAATTATTGTTAGTTTTATCATTTTTCTGATACTGATATTTTCTCATTCAGACTTAATTTTATTTATATTGAAGATAGATACTGGTAGATGATGTCCAAAGTTTCAGAGGAGCTAGCCACGAAAAACCTCAGTCATGATAGCAGCTCTCCGGACCAAGATCTGAACCCGCGAGCTCCCGGAAACAAAATAAGAATGCTAACTCGTGCCCGACGTTCGGTGTAATTATCAAAATTAGTTTTCTGCAGCATACACACACACGCAGACACAAATACTTAGGCCATTGTCCAGAATATAGGTCTGTAGCCTTATAATCGAAGAATTTACCAGTAGATAAGGTACAGTTTTGTTAAATAAACATTTATTTAAGCTGTGTGTAACATAAAAATGGTTCTCTTCTGGGTTGTAGCGCCATGTAATCTGGTAAAGTTAACCAGCGTTTCAGAGGTCCTCGCTCCCTCCATCATCAGGGCGCTACAACTCAGAAGACAGCCATCTTCGGACTCACCCCCTTGCAGACATCGACATTTTGTAAGATGGTGGTATTTACAGTGCCCAGTCTTCAATCTGGAAGGCCAGCTATTGTCGTCTATCCACAACTGCTTATTTATTATATTGTAAGCTGTCGTCCATGTTTGGAAGCTGTCTTTTCTATTAGCCACCTGAAGGCAAAACATGCAGACAAAGGATATAAGAAAGAGGGTGTTTGGGAAGACTGGGTTAATTCGGATGTAAGGATATAAGAAAGAGGGTGTTTGGGAGGACTGGATTAATTCGGATGCCAGGACAGGACCAGTGGCGGAATTTTTTGTATATGAACCTTCGAGTTGAAGAACACCTCTGGTCTATAGAGTTAGGTTTTTTTATATAAAGAGCAGTCTTTTTTCAGTAGAAACCTTTGGTGCGTTTGCACACTTACTAGTTGAGGCCATAAATCTTAACGTCAGTGGCGTGTGCCCTGTCCTGTGTATACAGTTATTTCTTGTCAGTTTAAATTACACTTGAGTGTAAAATATTCAAATGGAAAATATTTTTCTCCCACACAAGTCTAAAGAAGTTTAGAAGCCGCCGTTTGTATATTAATTTTCTGGTGTTATTAATCATCCATTTCGTACTATATTTATTTGTGTTGCTCGTCGTTGCATTTGATATATAGGATTCTTCAGTTCCTCTCCAAACGTATTCTCTTCTTGACTTCCGTCCTCTCTTCATTTGTTGGCGCGCAAGGAGACGTGCTGTGTCTTCTCCTGCAGCTTATGCTTCATTGCATCATTATCCCGTTTCTCGCTTGATTCGCTGTTTTAACTTTCATCTTGGGCAATCCATCATTATTATGGAGCTGTTTGCAGTTATTAAAGTAAAACTTTTCTCTTCTGACTTTTCCCTTCCTTTTCTGGGATAAATAAATTAATACGATTTTAAAAAGTTTCATGTGATTACTTTCGTAGAATTGATGCACAAAACTTTCTCCTCTCTCGAATTAAATCGCATTAACCCTCTTCTGTCGTCACTGTGTTAATTTGAATTGACGCATGGAAATACATTTTCCATAATTTATATCAAGGCTTTCCCATTTTTTCTATATTGTTTTATTTGACTTTGTTTTAAAAGTTAAAACACGATATTTCGCGTAATTAATATAAGCATGGAATGAAAACTTTTTTATAGCCCTGATAACTAGCAAGGACCTTTCAAGCGTAGGTAAATTTCTACCATACACTGCGCCTCGTCCCAGAAAAAATAGCCATCTTGGAATTATGCTTCAGACAATACGCCTGTCCTTTATTAAACATAGACAATTTTTTTAATACAGCTGTATTATTGTGCGTTGTCCATAGTGAGACAGCGTTATGGGCTGGTAGTGGCTGTCCCGTCGATTTAACTCGAGAACCACTGGATGGATTTGGATAAATTTGATGTGGAAGTTGTGCTATTTTGTATGGCCTCAAAATCCTACTTCTAAATAATCCTACGACCGGTGATAACAAAATGACAGATGACGAAATTCATGATGCGGGTGCTGTGGTACGGCGATCTGGTGGCGAAAGAGGGAACTATCGCACAAGGCTTATTTATTACTACCTAAAATTTACTTTGCAAAGAACGCATGAGTATATTATGTGTATTCCGGTACGTAGTACACTTTACGACCTTGTTTTGTTTATTATACTGCCCTGGTACCGGTGGACCTAAGTCCCAAAGTCTATTTTTGTTTAAACGTAGATCGCTGTGAAAAGTGACTGCGTCTTTGGTTGTCAGGCACTGTACCGCTACTCCATAGCGTAAAAACTTCCCGTATTTGCCTCTGTGACCATGCGGTTATTTTCATCCCATTAACTCCAAAAGTAAAGTAACATCCATATTTAATGGGAAAGAATTCCACATCACATTTAATTTCAGTAAAAGAAGAGAACGTATTTTCCTCTTTCAACAAAATGCTTCCTCCCTAATGAAGGCGGTCTGTATTACGTCATCACGTATTTGCGATCGTATCTGAGTTTGTATAAAAGAAAATATTCAGACTAATTGAACGTCGCGTTTC